GGCTCTCACCAAGTACGACTCGGTTCCCTTCGTTCGTTCAAAAGAATCGGATCGTTCGCCAACGTAACATCACTAGACTGAAGGTTGCTCCAACTGATCTGAGCACTGCAGGCAGGTGCACAGGACACAAAATGAAACTCTGAAACAGTGGTGATCCAGGCTCATTCACTCAATGAAATGTGTTCAGCGCAAGTAGTTCCTTTATCGTAAAACTCTACAGTGTAGTCGTTTGTCTATGGCAGGGAACTTCACCTGTTTTATAGATCTAACTAGTGCATAGAGGACAATCTAAGGGCTTTCTTTTAAGAGTCATGGCACAGTGAAGCGCTTCAAGCACATCGAGTGGAGAAATGGCATCCAGCTGTTCCTCTGATGGCCACTAGATGCTGCCGGTAAGAACACTTGGAGTGAAAATACTTCAATTGTTCTGATAGAAGAAAGACAATTCATCCTTCCAGTTTTACTTGGGTCATGGTGGTGATTTGACAAAAACCCTAAAAGCCACCTGAGTTCAAAAGAGGTGTACATGTGAGTGTGTTTGAGGAATTAGGCGCACTGCTATCCACCTGTCTCGGTACATAGTTGTATTCAAGCACTGGGAAGATTCTGACTGAAAAGGCCCAAACCATACTTTCTATCGTCATCATTTTGTGTCACCTGTGGTGGTTTGACTCTCAGCACCACTGTGTTAAAATGCAGACAACCACGTTTAAAGGGGACCTATCATGCAAAATGCACTTTTGTACGTCTTTTATACATGAATATGTGTCCCCGGTGTTCCAGGGAACTCACCAAGTGTCAGAAAACACAACCCTCTCTATATTCCTCCATACCCAAATCTCTAAAAAAAGGGGCTGCAACGGATCTGATAAAAACTGATCCAGATTTGAACACTGTCCTGACGTCAGGACGGTGGCGCTACGGCTATTGGGCCAACTCCACCAATCAGGAGGAGACAACCACAGCATTGCCGTTCGAAAGCGCTGGAGACGCTGTAGTACATATGCCAGGCCTCTAGATGGTGCTGTTGCTCACAGAATCAGCCCTTGCAAAAACAGAGCTATAAATTGTCAAATTGAGCAAAATGAGGCATGGCTAAAATGCATGATCTGTTTGGTATTTTGAAAAAAAAAAAAGTATAAATATGCCTTATATAGGTATGGTCCTACACTATATTATTCAAATATAGCATGATAGGTCCACTTTAAAGGAAGTTCTGAAACTATCTAGATGGTGTTCCCACATTTCTCCACTGTTTCTGTTGGTCCTGATTGTGTAACATTTAGCTACCTGTGTAGAGAGATTTGGGACAAACTCTAACAAGATCAGTGTTGTTCAGTGCGAGGGACGTGAGCCTTATACAGCTGCTGTTCCGTAAAGGTTTCTGGAGCCTTGGCCAGATTAACCAGTCTTACCTTCTACACATGGCACATTCAGAATAGAGTACAGGGATTCCTGGTTGAACAAAGGTCCCTTTAGAAATGTACACCAAGTAGCCTGTATAGAATATGGATGTGATCCTTGACATCACAAGTTGCACTATGATTCTCGGGCTCTTTGTATACTCCATACTGCACTTCTCACCCACTTTGGTGCTCTCTGGAAAAAAAAATCGTTGTGCTTGAAAATGAATTCAAGATGGCGTTTGTCAGGTGCTGTAACAAACAAAAAAACATTTGTGGTGCAAGAAAGACAATTAAAACGTGTACAGAACACAACAAATATATTGGATAACCGTGAAGATTCTTTGTGGCAAAGCAAAAGCAGCATTTGGCGAATCCATGTGCAGCTAAAATAAATGTTGAGGACTGGGACCCTTTCAAATTGCAGAGACACAAAATAATCCATACAAAAACACACTGTTTTTAATTTCATTTGAAAAGCTATTTCCCTTGTTTTGTTGAAGATCTCAGAGATTATTTTCCTTGAAGGACTTTTCTGTACACTTTGTATATTTATATTCATTTGTGTTCATTTTTCTGTTACAGCTCACATGCATAAAGTGTCAGCTCATGTTTCATGATATGAACTTTGGAGTTTGTAAAGTACGGTATGTTTTTAGGATGCAAGATTGAATATACTGCAACACACTATAACGGGATGTAAAGTATTCGTTTTTTTGAACAAACATGTCATTATTTAGAAGAACTGCAGGTGTTGGCTGCACATTATGTCATTGTTTTCTTAAATGTCTTTATTTTGTTGTGCAAAATCCAGATTGTCCACAATGTATAATAAACCTGCAATAAAGTCAAATGGGTTTTGCACTGTTATTTCTTCTAAATATTGTTCAGAGTTGTACCGGAGCCCCTGGATCTGGAAGAAAACTGAGCAGAGTTATCACGCTCAGTGGGGGGTGGATAAACCCCAATAAATGTATCTTATTATTTGACAGCACAGAGTCTGTGGACAGCTTCTTTGGCAGCAAGTTGCACTCACTGATTGTTTTTGGAAAGAGGGTTTTAAAATGTCGCTAGAAGCTAACTTTGCTTGATTCGTT